GCAAATCTACGGCGGGAGACCTTGTACTGAGAAGAACCGGCAAGAAACTCAGCAAGGGCTGTTTTTTTTTTGCAAATTGAAAGTTGACATCAAACTTGCAAACATGTGTTGAGGTCAACTTCCATCACATAATGTCAAATATGTAAAAATAATGTCCAATTACTATGGCGTTTCACAGTTAGACGCGATAAAAAACGTGATATAATGTTAATTGGTGGTGCTCATGCTACGGGGACAGATGGGAATATAAGCTATTGTCAAAATTTGACACGTTTACTGATGTCTTTGACATGACATTAACTGTAGTCAAAGGAGAATGGCGAACTTCCATAGGACCTTGGGCCTAACCATTACAACGATAATTTTTGGCCAGTTTTGTTGATAAATTCATACAGATTTCATGTATGTTAAAATTATAGAGTTATTCTACGGGATAGTATAAATATCGATAGTTAAATAACCAAAAGTTGGGTTATGTAAGGTTGGTCAAATTGATGAATTGTATTCATTAAAAGACTATATAAATACTTAAATCTAAGCTACAAAGGATTCAGGTGGCTCATGACATCCCCTCCCCCTGACAACAGTATGATGATTAATTTTAATAACTATTGTTTTAACAATGACATGGAAAAAAGTAGTGCTTACCTAACAGAAATAGAACTTATGTGCCTCCTGAATATAAATAACAAAATATAATACTTACATAAACAAAATCTACATATAAAGTTATAATATAATAATAATATATCAATAAGAAAAAATACAATAACCATTTCAAAATGTGTCAAATATGTTATGATAAAACGCAAAATAGGAAAAATGAAAATAATTTTCTCAACCCCTGCCAGAAGTCATCCACTTACACAGACGAGGGGTTATACTACTTTCAGGTATATATATCATTATATGCATTTCTGTCCGTCCGTCACACAAGGCTCACACACAGCGCTCACTTTGGGCATAGGCTGGTGGATTTTGTAACAAAAATATTTATTCATTTACTAAAACAATTTTAGTTCAGTAAATCCTCATTGAGATCTAAAACTTTTCAATGATCACAGTTCTTTGCGTATCACCTTGCTTCACCGATAGATGGCGCTGAACCAAATGACTCATTCTAAACTTCATAAATTAATTGTTCGGTATGCGTTAATTACTAGTAGATACTGCAACGTTTTTTTAATCTTCTTATAGTAACTGATTTCAACTCGTATTTTTGCTCTCATTAGAGCAGTTTCAAGGATATGTATGTATATCGTTTTTTGTTTCTTAGTTGCACGCAATTTTTATATCTAACAATCCGTGTTTCTGGTCTTGTGATATATAAATTGGGCAGGTTTACGTTTATCGCACACAAAGGGATAATGAAAATAGGTAATCTTTCTATCTTATTTTCTTAAAGAAGTTTTTTAATCGCAAAACTGATTATCCAATTTTGTTTTAGTATAACTTTTTTGCTAAATAATTAAAACGATTTTAATTTGTGTGGAAATCTTTTTGAGGATATTGTATCCATTTCAACCGACCTGAAGATACTTATTTTTTGAAGTGAAAACTTCTTTAGCGGCGTTGTACACTTTTTTGTACGGGTAAAAAATGATAAACTCGCGTCAGGTTAAACACGTGGGCAGATCGCATCATGACACACAATAAAATTGGAAAAGTTGTTGACTTTCAATATATTGGACGAAACATAGTAATATTTTATTTTATTGTATTATAATAATAAGTTTCTATCTAGGACGTCCACGAGGCAGCTTTATTGCGAAGAAAATTCATTTTTTTTTTTCAATAAATTCGCTAGGTGCGCTTATATGTGATTCATTTAAGTTGATTTCTTTACAATAGATGTCGCTAAGTGCGCTTAAACGTGATTCATGTAAGTTGATTTTTCTGAGAGGTAAACTTTTTTAATGATATATAAATTGTCATGTTTGTGTACGATAAGCGCAATAAATAAATATTGTATTCTACCACATACATGATAGTACTTTTATACTGATAATTAAAGCAATTCGTGCAAAATTATTCCCTAACCATTCCAAAATATCAAAAATGCACAACGTTAATATTGAAGTTTTCACTTCTGCCGGCACTCCCGGAGTGCAACCCGTTGTTTTTTTTTTAATATGTTCACGTAGAAGAAGGCTTACCTATAGCACATTACATGTTTCTCGATCTCTGTTTATGGATTACTTATGACTTGGCATGGCCATGGCCCAAACTCCCTATTCCGTCCATAGGAAAGGCCTGTGCCCCAGCAGTGGGGACATTAATAGGCTGATGATGATACTTATGTCTTCGTGGAAAATAGGAGCTATAGTCTTAACGCATCAAAAAAAGAAAAGAACGAAATTAGTAATTTATAGGTGATGGTGTTACTCAATAACGCTTTGTAAACATACGCGACAGTATTTGACAGAGCCGTGCCGTATAATTATTAATGATGTCTCATCCTATTTCCTTACTACTATCTGGCGGCCATATGCTTTTTTGACACTCTTTTTACGTCTAGCCTTCAAATCAATATAAGAGATCATTTTAATATAATTTTATTTGCGATATAATATGATATAAATAATAAATCAATTAATATAATATTGAGCTAAAGTGATTGAATAATGTTGATATTCATATATTTTTATTTGTGAGGTAAAAAGATGATCGTATTTTAACTAATGTTTTGTTTGTGTACCTATAATTAACTTAATTACAAATTGTGAATACGTCCTGTTCTTTATTCTCTATTTGCTGCCCTGTTCAGGGTCTACAATTATCAAATCAATGTTCCTACTAAGATCTAAGAAAACGTTGTAGAACGCAATAAAGTATTGATTGATTGGGATCAAGGTAGGCAATGGTGATAGTGTTATTTTTTGTATCACAAGCGTCTATAGGTTATGGCGGCCGCTTACCATCAGGCGGGGTATACGCTTGTTTGCCCCTCTACTAATATAAAAAATAAGATCGTATCTTCCGGATAAAACGATAAACTGAAATTGGGAATTGTAATTAATATTGACATAAATTTTAATTTTAATTGTTTTTTTCAACACCAATTAGCCTAGCAACCTAGCCCCAAAGTAAGCACTGTAAGGCTTGTGTAATGACATACTAGGCTAACGGATAAAATACATACACTGTACATACATAAGTATATTTATATAGGAAAACAAACATCTGCCCCATTATAATGATAAAATCATTGTTATTTGAATGAATGATAGGTAAAATGAGAATACTGTAATATGACTGTTGTATTTTAATATGTTTAATTTTTTTTGCATGCTATTAATATGGCTTAATAGGTTTAAGTTTCTTAGTTTAACCTATCCTGTATATGTAAACATCTTTTGCCAAACTTATTAAATGCAAATAAATAGTATTCTATAAAAAAATTAATGATTTAAGGTTCTTTGTAATGATGACCCGTATTCAATCAGTATCCAGTTCCATAATATTGGCTACTAGCCAGACTGCATGAGATTTGAGAGCTATAAATACATTAAGCTAAATTAGTTCTCATTCGCGCTGTAATTAAGAGAAACTTATTATTGGAAAAAAATAAATAATAATAATAATAAATAAATATTTCCAACACTCACACCAATTAGCCTAGCCCCAAAGTAAGCACTGTAAAGGCTTGTGTTATGGGATACTATGGTAACGGATAGAATACATGTATTGTACATATATAAGTATATTTATATGAAATACATATTAAACATCCATGACTGGAGTACAAATGCTCGTATTCATCACACAAACGTCTGCCCCCACCGGGATTCGAACCCGGGACCTCTCGAGTCGGCGACGCCATGAAACCCGGCGTATAAACCACTCGGCCACGGAGGTCGTCAAATATGTATCATCTATCCATCCATCCATCAGCCTTTCTCCGTCCACTGCTGGACATAGGCGTCCCCCATAGAACGCCACAATGCGCGGTCCTGCGCTATCCGCATCCAGCGGCTCCCAGCACATTTGACGATGTCGTCAGTCCACCTTGTTGGGGGCCGCCCCACGCTGCGTCGTCCGGTACGTGGTCGCCACTCGAGGACCTTTCTTACCCAACGGTTGTCAGATCCTCGAGCGATGTGGCCTGCCCATTGCCATTGGAAAGAAATATGTATACCTTGTTTCAAATGTTTAATACTTGTAAAGGTATTCATTTGACATTGTGGGTTACCTATAATGCGAAAAGATGGCGCTGCCTTGCAGTCTAAGAAGGGCAAAAGAGAAATCGACATGGCCATCAGGGCCGCGGTAGCATAATGGTCAGTGCATTTGCCCGGACAGCGAAGGGTGCGGGTTCGAGTCCCGTCTGCTGCCTGGTCCGTGTGGATTTTATTCTGGTAAAATGCTTAAAAAAATAAAAATATAAATATATATATATACCTACAACACTGACTTGCAAAATTAAGTATCACACTTTTATATATCCAATAACTTTTTAAGTACACAAGATATACTTTCGAAATAAAAACTACGCGAAAAGGAGTTTAATTTTGTGCTACTCTTACAAAGAAAGCTGATAAAATTTGCTTTAAAACGTTTTTTATTTTGTACATCTCTAACTTCTTTAGTTTAGAAAATATTGAAATTTTAGAAATGTGATGAGTACTTAGTTTGTTTTGCAGGTCCAGTGTATTTAACTTATACCGAGTTTGTTTGGGTGGAATTTACTAGCATGTTTTTTAATCTCAGAGACAAAAATTACATTACCCTGTGTAGCCGGTTTATTGCAGTTCTTAAATAGTGATGTATTACTGTCGGAAATTACCTCACATTAAATATTTAGTATCGTTTTTTTATTTAAAAGAGTTTAATAAAGCATTATTGGAACCAGATTATGTTATTAGAAAGTCTGAGCCACAGTAACCGCTCGCCACCTAGCGGCATGAGTGCCTGTATCTCGTTTCTTTCGTATAAAAATTAAAATATAAAAAGGGTCTGTAGCAGGCCTATGTTGATGATGTTAAATTTTTTGTTCACAGTGAAGTTACCCGAAGATGAGAGCGGTGTGGGCGGCCGATTCACAATCGGGCCCGCCCCAGAACGCGACTGGGAGATGGTCCCGCCCGACGGCAAGTGGGGATGGTGCGTGCTCGTAGGTAAACAACGCTCACATGTAGCGGTCCACAGATAATAATCTATATTTATACACAATCAGGTGGTTTACAATCGGACCCGCTTCAGGATGCGACTGGGAGATGGTCCCGCCCGACGGCAAGTGGGGATGATGCGTGCTCGTAGGTAAACAGTGCTCACATGTGGCGGTCCACAGATAATAATCTATATAATAATACACAATCGGGCCCGCCCCAGAACGCGACTGGGAGATGGTTCCGCCCGACGGTAAGTGGGGATGGTGCGTGCTCGTAGGTAAACAACGCTGCTCATGTAGCGGACAACAGATAATAATTTATATTTATGCACAATCTGGCGGTTCACTATCGGGCTCGTCCTAGAGCGCGACTGGGAGATGGTCCCGCCCGACGGCAAGTGGGGATGGTGCCTGCTCGTAGGTAAACAACGCTCTCATGTAGCGGGCTACAGATAATAATCTATATTAATGCACAATCGGGCGGTTCACAATCGGGCCTGCTCTAGAACGCGATTGGGAGATGGTCCCGCCCGACAGCAAGTGGGGATGGTGCGTGCTCGTAGTAAAACAACACTCACATGTGGCGGACCACAGATAATAATCTATATAATAATACACAATCGGGCGGTTCACAATCGGGCCCGCCCCAGAAGGCGACTGGGAGATGGAATGAGGCTTAAATCCCTGTATTCTCCTGGACCCACATTGTCTCTCTTCATCATCAGCCTATTCATGTCCCCACTGCTGGGGCACAGGTCTTCCCTATGGATGGAATAGGCAGATTGGGCCATGACCCACCACGCGGGAGCAGTGCGGATTGGCTGGTGCTAACGACTGCAGATGCAGCCGGGACCAACGGCTTAACGTGCCTTCCGAAGCACGGAGGAACTGGAGATAGAAGATTTTTGGTCACCCATCCAATGATTTACCGCTGAGAAAGATGCTTAACTTCGACGATCGCAGCCGAACGCGCTAACCACTTACGCCATCGAGCTCCTCACTCAACTTGCCTCCAAGGGCGGATCCAGGGAGGGTGGGGTCATGGGGGTCATGACCCCCTCTTGGGCTGGGTCCATCTGTACCCACTGTGACTTTACCACGACTATATGACCCCCCCTGGGCTGGGTCCATCTGTACCCACTGTGACTTGACCACGACTATATGACCCCCCCTGGGCTGGGTCCATCTGTACCCACTGTAACTTGAACACGACTATATGACCCCCTCTTGGGCTGGGTCCATCTGTACCCACTGTGACTTGACCACGACTATATGACCCCCCCTGGGCTGGGTCCATCTGTACCCACTGTGACTTGACCACGACTATATGACCCCCCCTGGGCTGGGTCCATCTGTACCCACTGTAACTTGAACACGACTATATGACCCCCTCTTGGGCTGGGTCCATCTGTACCCACTGTGACTTGACCACGACTATATGACCCCCCCTGGGCTGGGTCCATCTGTACCCACTGTGACTTGAACACGACTATATGACCCCCCCTCCGGCGCCAAAGCTGGATCCGCCCTTGCTTGTCTCTCTTACAACAGTTTATCTACTAAGAAATTTTCTTCCTCTCACCAGGTGCGACTCTAGTGAATATCCTTATACCGGGCACAATCAAGTCCTTCGGAGTTCTGTTGGTGGAGTTTAACGACGTGTTCCATACGAGTGCGTCAGCGGCGTCCGGCATCGTGGCTCTATGCTATTTCCTATACAGCAGTCTTGGTAAGTCATCAGGGTATTTATGTTTTTTAAGTGTAAATGGAAAAATCTATTTAAACTATAAAGGGGAGACCTGGGAGAGTTGTGACACAGACGATTTCTTCCAACTGATAATAATAAGGGAGATGGCATAAACGCACTTTTGTAGCTTAAGTTACTATTTCACTCAGTACCCGCCGGCGACGCAACATAAGCGGTCCCCCTCAGGTTCGAGTGGTCTAGAAGCTCCAGACGGAGACGAGACTCCGGGGCCGCGGGGAGTCGCCATCCGCCTGGAATACCTCTAGAGGCACTCGCCAATTCTCGGCTTGAGGTCCCCTTATGATCTCGCATTCCCCAAACCCGGTGACGCTGTAAAGGTCATCTTCGACCAAACACACTAAAAAAAAAACAAAAGCGGTTGCGTAATTACGACGTCTGCGTACAAAAAAACGCTAAAACTAAATTTTTCTTCAAAATTTTAATTGAATTTATATCATTTCTTAACACATGTGCGTTGTTGTGATATTTTTTCTTAAGTTGTATGGTTATTTAAGTCTTAAAACGTTGCTCTGATCTTTTGTGTTTTCATAGTATTTAGAAATTATGATTTTTTTATTCGGAAAAAGTCGTGATTTTGAGCACTGCACCCACTCCTCATTAGTTTCTGTGCATTAAGGAGAGTTGTGACAGTCTTTTTATGAAAAAATATATTTTATAGTACTTACGAATGAAAAGTGATGCCGTGGGTTTTATTTTTAGTTCTTGAGCAATTTGAGCACTTTTTAAAAACACACTTATTGATTGTTTTATCATATAAACACAAAATATTAGCAATATTTCTTTTTGGCGTTCACATGTACGTCGTTTGCATGTCAAGTTGTGACTAAAGCGATTAGGGTCGTGGACCACAATTGGTGCGGATCACTTTTGTGAGGCTGTCACAACTCTCCTTAATGCACAGAAACTAATGAGGAGTGGGTGCAATGCCTAGAATGCAAACGCTGGTCACACGCAGATTGTACTGGGGGCGAGTTGCAATACGTTTCTCAAAATTGCCTATTAGGTTTCATCAGATTTTTGACTGAATATAATCTTGAAGATCTCGAAGCCATGCTATAATTACTTAAAAGTATCATCATCATCAGCCTATTAATGTCCCCATTGCTGGGGACTATTGGGCCATGACCCACCACGCGGGCCCAGTGCAGATTGGTGGGTGCTAACGACTGCAGATGCAGCCGGGACCAACGGCTTAATGTGCCTTCCGAAGCACGGAGGAGCTCGAGATAGTAATTTTTCATAGGATAGGTCACCCATCCAATGACCGACCACTGCGAAAGTTGCTTAAGTTCAACGATCGTAGCCGAACGCGCTAACCACTTGCGCCATCGAGCTCCTCATACTTAAAAGTATAACATCATTTTATGGCAATATCATAGGTATTTGATATGGTAAAAGATGATAACATTACTTATGGTAAGAAAAGAAAAACATGTTTCATTATTTTTAATATGTGTTGGTGATTTTTAATACTTAAATAGTCGTAATATAAAGCTGTCACAACTTCCTCGGTACCTGTCACAACTTACCTCGGTGATAGGAGAGTTGTGACAGAGGGTTGTTTTTGTTGATTTTCTCAAAAAACGTAATACTTTAACTTATTTTGATAACTGATTTCAAAAGGGAAGAAATGGTGCTATATTTATTCATATAAGCCATAACTTTAAATTGTTCCATAAGTGAGATATTTACCTAAAATTAAAAATTGTCACAACTTTCCTAGGTCTCCCCTATATATGTGTATAATATATATATATACAGGGCGTCCCACGGATTTGTCACACGGAGGAAAAGTATATTAAATATTAAAGATAGATTATTTTACTGATAGAAGACATAATTTTGTTGTTATAATAAGTAGAACTGTATTTTCACCGTTTTAAAAAAATCGACATCCAAAACCGGGAATCAAACTCGTGAAATGTGATACAAAAAACTACATGTATTGTATGATAACCGTCGAAAGGGTTAATCATAAGGATTATTTTTTACTTAATAACATAGCATTTTAAATGAAAAATAATCACGAAAATTTACTTTTATTTTTACATAATTGAACACAAACTACAATTAAAAAAAATGCAAGGTTTGTATAAGTATCGCTTTATAATTTTTTTCACGTACTTATAGTAAAAAAATCCTGTATTATTAAATGAGAAGTACTAGTTAGTAAATACTTTTAAATTATAACATTAGCTGTTGTTAGCACGGAACATACCCTGAAAAGATTTTCATTTAAGATGCTGTGTTATTTAGGAAGAATTAATCCTCCTAGTGATGTAACGAATGTCATTTTTTGAACATTCGCGAATGCGAATGCGGATGCGAATGCGGATGCGAATGTCTGGTACCGACATTCGCGAATGCGAATAATTAGTTTTTTTTAAATTGGCGCTAATTGTCTATGGCATGGTGGCAGTCTCGTTCGAATTGCCGAGTTGATATGAACTCGTCCGACTGAAGTGTCATTCCGCTCGCACCGGTCTTTCCGTAAACAAAACAAGTGAATTTTGAGGTTAGTGATTGTGAGTGGTAATAGTGATTTATTAACATGAGTAAATCGAATTCTAGTGAAACATGGACTTATTTCACACTTTGCGATGCTGAACGAGCTAAATGCAAACTGTGTAACATTGAATATTCAAGGAAAGGCAGAACTACAACTTCTTCAAATTGTTTTTTTCTAATATTCATATTCGCAAAACATTCGCAGAGATTTTGCGAATGCGAATGCGAATATTCGTTACATCACTAATTAGCCCTTGCGATGGTTACCATAAAATACATCGTGTTTTTCTTTAATTTCACGAGTTTTACTCTCAGTTGTAGCAGGCGATTTTAAAAAAACTGTGAATGCAGTTCTAGTTATTATTAAAAATAAAATGATTTTTTCTTTCTGTTAAATATCCTATATTTAATATACTGTCCCTCTGTGTGACAAACCCGTGGGACGCCCTGTATACACATGCACACCCGTGCACACTAATTTTTTTAGGCTCTCTTAAAAGTCTCTTCGGTGGTGTCGTGTGAGGCGGGTCACACGACCCTAAAATATGGTTGAGCGAAGCGATGACTGGTTCGTGCGTCATGCCCGTGAACGGTTTTTTTCCGAAAATTGCCTATCTTCGACATATGCAGACCGAACCACGCGCCTTTTTAAACCCCTCGAACACAGAGTGGTGAAAAATTATAAATTTTTGATCACCCATCCTAAGTCTGACCATAGCGAAAGTTGCTTAACAAAGTTTTTTTTCTATTTTCCTAGGTCCATTATCTTCGATATTGTCAGTGAAATGGTCGTATCGGACGGTGACCCTAATAGGGGGCAGCTTTGCCGCCTTTGGAATGATATTTAGCAGTTGTGCCTTCTCTATAACGTATTTATACTTTAGGTAAGTTGTAAATTATTTTATATATATACATATCATATATATATATATGATAAGGTGTTTTTTAGAATAAAATGTATATATATAAAACTCAAAGGTGACTGACTGACTGACATAGTGATCTATCAACGCACAGCCCAAACCACTGGACGGATCGGGCTGAAATTTGGCATGCAGGTAGATGTTATGACGTAGGCATCCGCTAAGAAAGGATTTTGATCAATTCTACCCCCAAGGGGATAAAATAGGGAATGAAACTTTGTAATTTTTAAACCGATCGGGCTGAGACTTTGCATGTATAAGAAGAATCATAGATGAATGTCATTGTGTATAATACAAGCCTGAGAACAAAAACTGTAGACTACACTTCAGCTCTACACCGAAGCGAAGCGAGGGCGGGCCGCTAGTCTATCACAAGATTACTGTACTGTAACATATTGACTTCTACGCAATAATGCGCAAAAAAGTTACTTCTCTCATGAAGAGAGTTTGCGACAGCCACAAATAGCATCTTGAAGATTGTAGGGGGTAGGTCCGAGTGAGGACACTCGGACTCGGACGTACAGTTGTTGCTACTTGTAGGAACAAGTAATCACTGGACAACTGTACATTTGTAGAATTAAATAAATTTAAATACCTATAATGCGAAGAGATGGCGCTGCCTTGCAGCTTAAGAATGGCTAGAAGAATTTCGACGCGGTCCGTGAGGGCCGCCGTAGCATAATTGGTCAGTGCGTTCGCCCGGATTGCGAAGGGTGCGGGTTCGAGTCCCGTCTGCTGCCTGCTCCGCGTGGAATTTTTTCTAGTTATATTTTCGGTAGATTTAAACATCAAGCAGTTACATGCTTTAAAATAATAAAAATTATAACTTTAAATAACTTATCAATGTAATTATTTTTAATTTGTAATTTTATTGATTTAATTTTGTAATTTCTTTTTGTTGACATTTGTAATTTTGTATTTATTTTAACTATTTTGTTTTTGAATTCGTAATTTGTAAGCTGCTTTTATTATTTTTCTTGTTTTTATCTAATTTTTTATGTTCTTTCTTTTATCGTTCATTCTATTACCGAATTTCATTTAAATCGGTTCAGCGATTTAAGCGCGATGAACTGAAGAAGTTCTTCTGCAGTCTATCTTTACTAATATTATAAATGCCAAAGTGTGTCTGTATGTCCTTCTGTTCCCTTATCAATTCTTGAATAGTGACATGTTGCTTTAAAACTAAAAGAACACGTAATTGAGGAGCTGGCGAACAAAACGGTATAATAGGGTATTTGACAGCATTAAAAATAAAGTGCCAATTGTTAGCTTCTGTGTTTAAAATGAATATTGGCAGGGGTTTTCACTATTTTTACAGAAAAAATATTCATAATTTTACTAAAAACCCACGAAAAAGATAATAGTTTTCTTGTCTATTGACACGTGACCCAAATCGCTTGGGATTGGCGGAGCCTAAAATGACGTCACACGCCAGTAAACTTCCGGTTAAAGTGACATTACATTGCATCGTTTGACGTTTAAATAACAGTCGTGAGACGTCACACACCAGTGAGACGCCATATTGTCCAGAGAAACGTTTTCGCTGCAACTTGAAAATGGAGTTTTTGATTTGGTTATTTTTACTGAAATACACAACAGAATGATGAATATCCACTTTTTACGGACTCCATAAACATTAGTCATTAACGTGAGTTCGTTTTCTAAAACTTGTCAAATACCCTATTACGCATATTGTTTTGCGCATACTTTATTTTTACAGCCCGGAGGTTTTGGGCCAGTTGAATTTGAATTTAAACTAATGTCAATCGAAACCGCCTAAAATAGTGTTCAAATTACTAAATTAAAAATCACGCCAAAAGCTCAATGTAGGTATGTCATTCAATTTTTTGGTGCTCCTGTATAATTTAATTTGATGTTATTATACCGTTTTGCTCGCCAGCTCCTCAATTTTTTTTACGGCTGAAAAATCCAACCAGTAATATTTTCATATCCAGAACTGTCCATTTATTTGTCATTCGGAAAGAAAAGTGACATATTCGTTACATAGATAGGGACGAAATTCTTCATACTACAACAACGTCCAACTTGCAGCGTATTTACTCCCAAAACTATCGTTTGCAACAAAGTTGTCGTTCGGAAAAAATAGTGACAATATTTTTTTTTCTTTTTTGTTTTTCATCCAAGTTTCGGAGCTATGGTGGGCACCGGCGCCGGTCTAGCGTTCCCCCCCACCGTGTACATAGTGACGTCATACTTCGTCCGCCTGCGAGGGTTGGCCAACGGCATATGTATGTCTGGTTCCGCGTTCGGTAGCATCATTCTACCGCCGGTGCTGAGATACTTGCTTGAGACGTATGGATACAAGTGAGTGGCCTTTTTTTTGAGATTTTTGTATGTCTATGTGTGTGTTTTTACAGACATGGCGTCGTCAAAAGCTTGAGAGCGTTAGGGCATTATTGATACTTTGGTCTGAAGTAAAGTTTATTATTTTTTTCAATTTGAAGTTTCAACGGTATAGATGCACTGATTTATTTATTTATGACGTTTCGCAACGTTTTTAGACTACGTCGTCAGAATAATGATTTTATTTGCTTTGTCGAGCTATCTTCGAAAGATTTTTTGGCTTATTTATTTTTGTGCGTGAAAACTTAAGAAACGACTTCTTTAGCACCGTTGTGATTTAAAACTCCTGAAACGAAAATTTAACAGTATTTGACACAAGGTATCCGTAATTGCACGCCTCACAACGCGTAAGCGTGAGTGCTTTACTGTCGATAGGCCGCTGATGTCGTGACGATTTTACAATATAAAATCGCTCTTATCTCCCAAGTTAGACACGAAATCAATAAAAAGGAGTGTTTTGAAAACTAGACATATTAAATTATAAAGTCACCGTATTTTTTCATTAATTTTTTTAGTATACATATATAACAAAAAAATGTAGTTAAAATATTATTAGTACTGCTGTCCGTTGGTCTGTGCACTTGTTTGTCTACACATTTAAGAAAAATATACGCAATTAATTGTTATAAATCCTTTTGAATTAATTTCCACTTATACTGCGGATGAACCCTATTTCTTATCATGATTGAACTGATAACCGTTTTAAAGATATTAATGAAATTCAATGGAATTTATTTACTGGGTTTCTGTTTCGTGAATCTGAGGCGTGCACTTTTGGATTTTCCATAATTTTTTGGAACTCTCTGCAGGAGACTGATAGCCGAACGATAAGGGTCTCGGGGTCGACTCCAAATGATTGGTGGTTTGACCCCGAGCTCGGTTATTTTTTTTATTGTATTTTTTATTAAGCTATTATTTATTTTTCGAAACAATTTAAGTAGGCATAAATTATAAAATTTTGATCATTATTTTACAATACCTGAATAGTTGAGTATTAAACGTTTGGTAGGTGCCTCAGTTGTTTATTAATACGGGCTTGGTTTTTATCAACAACCCTTACATTTCCAATGATTGCAATTTTTTTACAGTATTTTTTTATTATAGATATTTCGAAAAACACCTAAGATAAGAAAGACATAACAAAAGAAATAAAATAAAAAGAGCGGGAGTTCTATTTCTGAATCACTCGCCTTGCTCACTCACTCTATTTCTACTAATTTTCATTCGACACAATTAAATCCGTATTTTTGAATCGCTCCAGTGCAACGAATGGGTGAGACCACTCGTTGCATGACGAATGGTGGAGGCGAATGATAGAATAATTGTCGAATTCGTGTCATACGTCACGTTAGTGTCAAACTTATAATTATTAAGATTTCTTGTGTGATTGGATTTAGCCACTGAGTAAAATAAACTATTAGAAACAGTTTTGAAAGGAGTGTTGTGACGTTTGAATTTTTCAAATGCCGGCACTTTACTTTGCTTTTCATTTTGCTATTAGACGACGATAATCTATCTTTGTCATGCTTTATATTAAACGACAAGGGCAGACTGACGTCAAGTTTCTTCTTCTTTTATTGTGGCATGAAGGCTAATGCAGGTCAAGTTTACAAACAGCAATCACGAACAGCTAAGTGAAGTGCCGGTAATATAAACAACAAAATACTATTGTATTATACAGCCATGTACTAAGAATTTTTCGTTTCGTTTTCATTGCGGTAATTACCGGTTTTATTTAGTATGCGTGAAATGAATAAAATTTTATATTTCTTTTTAAACTGGTATCATCGGTGACGAACGATTTAAATATACGGAAAATCAGTATCATGCGACTTGGAATTCGAAGGTGACTTATGTCGCATTCGACGATACTATGTCAGACGAGCGATTTAAAAATAGAGCTCATTATTAGTAATATTTAATGCTGAATAGCTGAATGTTTATAATATCTATTAAAAAAAGACTCGGGAACTTTTGATAAAGTCACAATTTTGAAAATTATGAGAACTCCTACTATGTCATAACCTTGCTACATTTGATAAAAGATGTTGCCAATTATTTATAGAGCCATCAATTGCGCATTTTCTTAGGATCCTTCCTCCCATTTCTCTGATTAACATTTCACAAAAAGTGTTTTTATTACAAAAATAAATATAAATAGTCATCGGCCTGACAGGAAGTCTGTGAAGTTTTATTTTGTTCATTTGCATAAATCAAAGAATTAATTATCATACAGCCTTGTCTCAAGCATGATCAGAATAATAAAATCTACTATTTCAGGCTTTCAGTGTTATGTTATAATAAAAATTAGGGCCAAATATGTCATAGTTTAAACGAGTTTGGAATTAATATTGTTTATTTCGATAAACTCACACAAATATTTTTTGTCTACATTTATTGTTCATTTCTTTTTGTAAAACGGAACGTTTTCCTTTTGAAACAGACATGGAGTCAATTTTCATACTTTTAAATATTTTATTATTTCACGAAAGTTGTACTCGTATGAGAATAATAAACATGTCATAATTATGAATTTATTCATGTCATGTCATAATTGTTAAAAAAAAATTATAATGTTATGGGCTAGTGCGAAATAATTATACACGTTAAGGGCAGTTTCTTAGCCATGTCCTTTCTATCTATCTTTGATTGATTATATTTTTGCTTACACATCAATCAACAATGCTGTGTACACTTTTAAATTAAATTCATTTTTTTATCACGTAACTAGATATCGTGTATTTTTAAGAATTGTGTAAATTAAATTTTCATTTATATTTGTTTTATGAACAGTTCAAAAGATTTTATTCATGTAGTAGTATGCATAGCGTAGCGTAGCTGTGATAAAATTATGCCAATTTAAATTCTGTATTTATTATTACAGAGGGGCAGTGCTTATATTGGGCGGTATAATGCTGAACGTATGGGCCGCCGCTTTGCTGTTCCAACCCGTAGAAGAACACATGGTGAAGAAGTATAAAGAACCAGAGGAAGACGAAGAGGGACCTCAGGTAAGAACGTAGAAAGTATTCATTAAGACGGAGTGAGAGTGAAATATGTAACGGTCAACATTTCTGGGGTTCGGAAAAGAAAGTAACAACCTGTCACTTTTATTTCCGAACAACGACACAACTTTGCTAAATGGAGGTGAGACGTGCGTGGTATATCCGTATGTTGGCTTAACGCTGACAACTTGTCACTATTCGGAAATAATTCCGAACATTACTTTGTACCATGTGTGATGGGTTGGTAACTTGTCACTATTGTTTACGAATTAAAACTTAATTCCGACCAGAACAGAAATGTCTGTAGCTGTGTTAGTGATATTTTTACTGACTGATGCGTTTACCCGTGTTTTTCAAAGAAAGATGATTTTCTAAGTTTTAAAATCAGTTTACCTACACATTTTTGAAAAAGGACGATTTAAAGGAATAATTACTGGTTATTTTAAGTATTTTATCACTTGCGTACAAACTGAGACATGAGGAGAGAAAGTGGGACGGCTCACCCAAATATTTATTTAATTGCGAATAACACCAGTATTATCTATTTAATAACATAATTACCTTATTTATCTGTTTGTCACTAACATAATACATTGACACGACAACGGTAATGTTTATAAAAAAATATTTTTTCTCATTTTATTTTTAAATTTATTCTGCATAACTTGTTTGGTTTTTTTAAAATAAGTATGTTTAATTTATATAAATAGTGCTCGAAGATAAAAACCTATATTTACTATTATGAACTAAATTGTTATATATTTACGAATTTTAATTATTCATTGTTATTTCATGGTTTATTATTGAGATATTTTTATTAAATTTTAAATTAATATAACTGACTCATTTTATAGAGACGATGGAAAAACTGACAATATATAAATATTTTATTACTAAAGTCTTCCTTGAGGAATTACAAAATGTTTTTCTAAATTGTGTTATCGCCGTTTTGACTTGTGGGTGGTATTTTTTTCTAATTTACAGTGTTGTTTAAACGTTTTGACATGATTTTTGTAGCCAACATTGGGAGTTATTGGCTATCCTTGTTATTTTATTTAAAACTCATTTTTGCCAACCTGTGGGGGGCACTCTTGGCCAGTTACTAGACAAATATTCTTCGGAAAAAATATAAATTACCTTAGATAAATAAAATTAGGCAAAACTAACATTATAAAAAGGGTTTGTGTTGGAAGACTTTTATGTAATTTTAAAGTTCAATTAAAGCTAATCTATTAAAGTTTAGCATTTGCTTGGAAACAAAATAAATAACGTATATTGAGTTGAAAAAAAAAAAGGATTTGGAGAATATTTATTATTCTTAACATATTTATGTTAGTTTTAAAATTTGGTTAATATTATTAATTGTTCAAGCGACAAGTGTGTACTTGGTTGAAGTGTATCAACACATGGAGTAGCTTATCAAGCTATTGTAGGCGATATTATGGGATACTGACACTTATTGTGTCTTAGAAAAAAGCTCGAATTTATGCGTAAGTTATATTTACATAATTGTGACATAATGATAAAGCATATTTGCAACTTTGTCACACAATAAAGGAGATGGCGTGATTGAATTATTTAAAAAAATAATGATATCAGTTTTTTTAATGAAAACAATAATAGTTTGAATATATATTCATAAAGTCGTAGCTTCTATAAATCTCGTGCGTTTTTTAATAAACCAAAATTAGTGGTTTTATTTTATTACAAACGGACCCTATATTTTTTTTATTTATAAAATTTCTTGAAGTGATTTTATTGGTACACGTTTTCTGGGATTGCACCATTGCATAAGAAAAGTAAGCAACTTCATTTTTCATTATAATATCCTTGCTATATTATAACAATTTGTGTTTTCTTATTCGACTTATTTGGTGAACATTTATTTCGACAAAAACAAAATATTGTGATTACCTTTGTAATAATTCAGTGTCTTGGAAAAAATAAAAAAAAAAGTTGCAAAAATAGAAATTGAAAATATAAATACAAATATTATATTTCAATGTTAATTAAATTTTGCTAAAACAGCATTTTGAATGATATATATTATAAAACTATTACGGTTAAATAAAAATTGTTTACGAATAAGTCGAATATGAAATAAATAGTTTAATTTAGAATATTTTATCGTCGATGATTTGCAAGAAGTATGATTTGAAAATTGCAATTTCGTTGATCTTTAGATGGCTGCAAATAAAACATATTTCAATTTTCGTAGTATGGAAGAAACTGATATTACCAATGATTAAAGTATAGAATTCATATAAAGCTATGATTAGCAAAATATCAACTCTTAAGTTGTTTTAATATAATAGGGTATTTGACAGTATTAAAAATAAAGTGCTATATGTTAGCATCTGTGTTTAGAATGAATATTGGCAGGGGTTTTTACTATTTTTACAAAAAAAATATTCATAATTTTACTAAAAACCCACGAAAAAGATAATAGTTTTCTTATCTATTGACACGTGACCCAAAACGCTTGGGATTGGAGGAGCCTAAAATGACGTCATACGCAGGTAAACTTCCGGTTAATGTGAAATTACATTGTAACGTGTGACGTTTTAATAACAGTCGTTTGACGTTACACACTAGTAAGACGCCATATTGTCCAGAGAAACGTTTTCGCGGCAACGGAGGATTGAAAATGGAGTTTTTGATTTGGTTATTTTTACTGAAATACACAACAGAATGATGAATATCCACTTTTTACGGACTCCATAAACATTAGTCAATCATGTGAGATCGTTTTCTAAAACTTGTCAAATACCCTATTGCACTTGAAGTTTAATCGTTTTAAAATTACCAACATGATAAACGCCCTCCACGGAATTGCAAATTATGGATGCATGACTTCGGCAATATGATGGAAAAAATTTCTTGCGTTTTTTTTTATTACAAAATTTAGCTTACGATCGGTATGTAACATTTTGTAATGCCAATACCATTAGTATTGTAGATTAATTAAATAAATAAATTGCTCCTTTTACAAAAAAGTTTGCAGAGAATTATACTATTGTTTTTTTTTTATTTAACATTTAAAAAAAAATTTTTTTTGTAATATTTTCTTTAGATTTAATAAACCTTGTGTTCAGTGTTGCAAGTTCCTTCAGATTATTGGGTAAGATGAATAAGCTGAATTTTGTAATTTGTCAAGGAGTGTTTGGCAATAATCGTGTTTGCTATATAATATGCTATGATTTTATTTATTTTTTAAGCATTTAACTGCTATATGTTTAAATCTAAAGAAAAGTTTACTAGAAAAAAATCCACGCGGACCAGGCAGCGGACGGGACTCGAATTTGACATTGTGGGTTACCTACAATGCGAAGAAATGGCGCTGCCTTGCAGCTTAAGGCTAGGAAAATTTCGACGCGGCTAATAGGGCCGTGGTAGCATAATGGTTAGTGCATTCGCCCGGATAGCGAAGGATGCGGGTTCGAGTCCCGTCCGCTGCCTGGTCCGCGTGGATTTTTTCTAGTAAACTTTTCTTTAGATATAATATGCTTCTTATGTGTTGCATGGTTGGCGTTTGTGTCCTCTTTTATATGTATTGGTGTCGATTCTGGCACGATTCTCTAAATCTAAACTTAAATTTGATAACAGTGTATTTTTTACAGAATGAAAAGATGAGACTGATGTTAAATTTAGTTTGAAGTCTAGAGAATCCCTCCAGAATCGACACCATTGTTTTAAATTTTCATGGTCACTAACATTATAGTAATACTAGCAAAGCAGTGAACCAAATGTTCACCAAAAAAAAAAAAAACATGTATTTAATTAATTGAGAACTTCGGAGATTTTGTGTGGTTTCGTTTGAAATAGAAATCACGTGATTTCTCGAAAACCGGAAGTGCTACGTTACTCACATCCGGTTTGTAGTCTTATCAGACTATTCTTAACTTATAACTTAAACATTCTCTATATCTATCTCTTACGGTTTGGCCGCTGAAACAGCACCACGGACGGACGGACGGACTTGTCTAAGAGATAAGTTATTTACGGGATTGTTACCATTGTACCTTGTTTTTAGCGAATTTCCGGTATGGATGCACTGATTTATTTATTTATTTATTGACGCATTCCTTTCCAGAATGCGCCGTCAGAATTATCATAACCATGATCATCATAATAGGGTATTTGACAAGTTTTAGAAAACGATGTCACGTTATATACTAATGTTTATAGTGTCCATAAAATGGATATTCATCATTCTGTTGTGTATTTCAGTAAAAATAACCAAATAAAAAACTCCATTTTCAAGTTGCCGCGAAAAACGTATCTCCGGACAATATGGCGTCTCACTGGTGTGTGACGTCACACGACTGTCATTAAAACGTCAAACCATACAATCAAATGCCACTTTAACCGGAAGTTTACTTGCGTGTGACGTCATTTTAACCTCCACCAATCCCAAGCGTTTTGGGTCATGTAACAATAGACAAGAAAACTATTAGCTTTATCGTGGGTTTATAGTAAAATTATGAATATTTTTTCTGTAAAAATAGTGAAAACTCCTGCCAATATTCATTCTAAATACAGATGCTAACAATTGGCACTTTATTTTTAATACTGTCAAATACCCTATTTCATTGACTAGAAATTTTGATAGGCTTCATATTCATTTTATTTATGCTCATAACCTGTACTCATTGCCTAACCCAAGCAATGCTGACGGCGGGCCATCATATTATCATGCTTTACAATCTTTGCGTGATCTATTTTTTTACAAAGTTTTTATCGAAAATATTGAATTACCTAGATATCCTAAAACTTATTTGTCTGGTTATCTGAAAATGACACACGTTTAAAACAAATTTTAAAAGCAGCTCTGATTTATTTATTTATTGACGTTTCTCATCCTTTCCATGATGCGTCGTCAGAATAGGGTATTTGACAGTATTAAAAATAAAGTGCCAATTGTTAGCATCTGTGTTAAGAATGAATATTGGCAGGGGTTTTCATAATTTTACTAAAAACCCACGAAAAGATAATAGTTTTCTTATCTATTGTCACGTGACCCAAAACGCTTGGGATTGGCGGAGCCTAAAATGACGTCACACGCAAGTAAACTTCCGGTTAAAGTGACATTACATTGTATCGTTTGACGTTTTAATAACAGTCGTGTGACGTCACACACTAGTAAGACGCCATATTGTCCAGAGAAACGTATTCGCGGCAACTTGAAAATGGAGTTTTTGATTTGGTTATTTTTACTGAAATACACAAGAGAATGATGAATATCCACTTTTTACGGACTCCATAAACATTAGTCAATAACGTGAGATCGTTTTCTAAAACTTGTCAAATACCCTATTGTCATAATCATGATCATCATAATTCTGACGACGCATTCTGAAAAGGATGCGAAACGTCAATAAATAAATCAATCAGTGCATCTGTACCGTTGAATCTTGTTTTATTTATTGAGTGGTGTGCGTGAAAACCTAAGACACAAATATTATTTTATCTCACAAAATGATATCTATTAATTTACATTTATGAAATTAAAATCATATCATCTCCTCATTAATGGTTTTTGGCTCTCGCTCAAAAGGGTGTTTCGAAGCTTGGTATTCACATAGACAAACATATTGAACACTAGCGGCCCGCCCTCGCTTCGCTTCGGTGTAGAGCTGAGGTGTAGGTTACAGTTTTTGTTCTCAGGCTTGTATTATACTCAATGACATTCATCTATGATTCTTCTTATACCTGCATGCAAAGTCTCAGCCCGATCGGTTTAAAATTGTCAAAGTTTCATACAAACTTTCATTCCCTATTTTATCCCCTTAGGGGTAGAATTGATCAAAATCCTTTATTAGCGGATGCCTACGTCATAACATCTACCTGCATGCCAAATTTCAGCCCGATCCGTCCAGTGGTTTGGGCTGTGCGTTGATAGATCACTATGTCAGTCAGTCACCTTTGAGTTTTATATATTTAGATAAACCATGGACAAACTAACTTGCGCGATAGATGTTATTCCTAACAAATATTTATTTATATACATTATATATGTATAATTCATAGTACTAAATTTTGTTAGTTATCCTCGTAATTGGTGTTGGTTGAGTTGGCCGAAAATAAATTTTAACTATCGTGCTTTAGTAGAATATTAGATTAATTAACATTTGGTAGAAAACTGTGGAGTTGGTTTTGGCTTAATTAGTTTGTTTTAGTTGCGTAGAGTGTGTGAAACTGTAAAAATTTAAAGGGTACTCGCAATTGTGTAGCTTTTTAAAATGTTTTGTGTAAGAGTTCTAAATTGGTGCTAAAATTTCAATATTTTAATGACCATATTGAGTTACGGTCAGTTTACACAGAGTTGTACTTCTAGAAGTTGCAAGATGGTAATCGAATATATTATAGTTGTTCCCTGTATTTTTAATGAAAACGTAAAATTTTTCGTCAATAAATTTATTAGTAATGCTATTAAAAGTACATGTCCGTCGTTGTGACTTCAAGACTTCCCTTGTGTCATTTTTGTCGAAAAACCTTTTTTATACGGGTTTATTTCAAATTTTGGCGCCACATCGAAAGCAAGAACTCTCATGTGAATAAGTCTTTTCAAATTCTATTTATTAACTTTATTCAATATATCTTAAGTGCTTGCTCAAGTAAAGTTGGCATTTTAAATATCTTATGTGCTAAATCTACACATGAGAGTACTCCACATTGTCATGTGATACAAAACGCGCAACCAAAACCTCTTATGTGTCACATTGAATGGTTTTTAATTTTTTTACTACAATTTCCTTTTTTATTCAAAATGACAAGAGCAAAATAAAAATTATAAAAGTTTTAATTATCCCTTTTATTTTTTTCAGTTCACGGTTTTTATTGAATATCTCGCATTGATGAATTTTACACATGGGAGGTCTTAAAGTCGCAACGACAATGTAAAGAATCGCGTCTCTGTGTGAACTGGCCCATACAACTCACTCGTTCATTCCCTTCGCTCGATGAATGAATGAATGAATGATAATAATTTCATGGGTTGGTGGTTTTATTATTTATCTGTGTTACCCTTCTCATTTCACAATGTCCTGCAATACTCAACACTTTGCGGCTTTTATCAACAAAACGTATATCAAGGAAGACTTTAGTAAAACATAGTTTGGTGATGTAGGTGTATATGACACGATATTATTGACATTATTGACGCTAACATTATGATATAGTTTTTATGCCAGTTTAAGTTTTGCCGGGCATTGTCGAATAGTATTAATATACTGATTTCTTATTTAAAAAAACACATAAATACTATTAATATAATTTGGTCGGTGATAAATGTAAAATCGTTGCAATTCCGCGGTCGCTGATTTATCCAACAGTAAAAAATAAAAATATATAGATAAAAAAATATAGAATTTTAATTTAAATTGTTTTTTTTTTTGCAAAATATATAATGTCCACGATATATGGTAAATAATATCGAGCCCTTACCGCCAAATTATCGTAAGCGACACTCGCCAAATTATCGTAAGCGACACCTTTGTCGAAATGCGTTTTTTGTGGAAACTAATATTTTAAACCGTAACGGACCCATCTCTGTTGATATTTCCCTCTATTCTTCCCTCTATTATATTATAACGGTGTTCTTTTGGAGGGAAATATCAACAGAGATGGGTCCGTTACGGTTTAAAATATTAGTTTCCACAAAAAACGCGTGTCGCTTACGATAATTTGGCGAGTGTCGCTTACAATAATTTGGCGGTAAGGGCTCGATATGGTAGACCAATCTTGTGAACTCTCTCGAACACGCAAATTTAAGGCTGGAAAAGATAGTAGATTCCGTCGAAGTAGTCCAACGAATTAGAAATTATATAGATTACTAATTGCGCTAAAATGTGGTTCCACGCAAATTACGATTACGCGGGCAATGCGAATAAAATGCGATCAACTCGCCGATCGTGGGATTCCCCACGACAACGGCTAACTAGAGCCGAGGTCCGAGTCTCAGAGACGCCTTCGAGTTGAGCCGACCCCCTCAGGTGCTCGTGGTCTAGAGGCTCCAGACGGAGCGGAGACTCCTCCCGTGGGGAGATGCCATCCGCCTGGAATACCTCTGGAGGCACTCGCCAATTTTCGGCTTGAGGTCCCCTTAGGATCTAATAGATAGCCGAATTCATTTGCAGATATTTGACTTGTCAAATTATTTTGATTTATCTGTGTGCAAGTCGCGTTAGTATTGAAGTTTGATTGTATGAGTTAGAAATTATGTTTTAGCGGCCATTGTTTGAGAGTAATGCTTCCATATAATTTCTAATTCGTTGTCCATATAATATATTAATTAAAATGTGATCATACATTTTACTTTAGAAACTATAAGCAAGCACTAAGTTTACTTATAAGTCCTTAATTTTTTTTTGCAACTTACCGTCTTTTAGTAAGGTCACGGAATTGCAAATCATAGATCAGCGATTTGGCAAAATCACCAACGATATTATCATTACCATTGAAATATTATCAAAAATAAAAAAAAAAAAATTGTGTTAAACTCACTCACTCACTCACTCTTTAGAAATCAGTATAACTGTTTTGTCTGTCCGTATTTATAGTAATATCTGTGCCCAGTAGTTTTGAGAGTTGTTGAAAAATACGATCGTCTCTTATTTAAAATTAAATATAAAGAAATTTACGATAGTAAACATTTCATAACTGAAACTTATTCTTTTTGCACAAGAGTACATCGTTTCTGCTAAAGACACTACTGTGAAATATACAGTAAGCAAATTGTTCAATAGACCAAAAATGTCAAATTTATCCAAGCGACTTTTGGGATTTATTTTGCTTGATATATCCTCTCGTATGTGTAAGTGGATGATTTCTGCGAAGAGTTGAGAAAAATATTTTAATTTTTATATTTTTCATTTTATCATATTTAGTAATGGTTTTTAATTTACACGTCTAATATGTAGATAAGTTTGTAGAGAAACTATTCTGGATTGATTTAAGACATAAATGAATCTTGGATGTACAGTAGAACTCGAGTAATCGAATAGTAAGAGGAAAACCGGCCGGAAAACTTTGCAAAACAAAGTACTTATATGGCTACACAGCCGAGGCAATAAAATCAAAACAATCTATTGGAAAGTATTTATATATAGAGACGGTCTTTGTTTTCCTATACTCTCAAATAAAACAGAATTATACTCTAATACCCTTATTACAAGACGTTGACTAAAAGTTGAAAAAGTTAAACCTGTTCTGAAAACTGATGCTGTCACTTTTGTTTGATATAAAAAAGACAGAGACGATGTCACGTTAAAATCATGACTATAGTCTGCGTTTTGGAATAAGGCAGTATAAGCTTTTATCATAGAAACACTAAAAACGACAATTTCTTTTCAGGACGACATATTGTTCGAAGAGGAGGAACCAATCGCTACAATTCAAGAAGAGTTACCGCAAATAGTGTTGCCAAGCAACGGCTCAAAAGAGCTACAGAAAGATTTGTCACAAAGCCAAATTAATAACAGTCAGAATTGCATGCCATCTCTGGCGTCACAGAACCAATTGAGACACAACATGTCCAAAAAGAAATTGGCGAGACCAATGTCCAAAGCCAATAACAGTTCTGCTTCCATAGCTCACGATATCAAAAGATTAGGTTCTCAAGAGACATTTGGCAGGAGACTCAGTGTCGCCGGCCCCAAAAGAAATATGTCTACTTCCAGCTTTGCTTACGTTTCAACGCCTTTCCACGGCTCAACACTTTCAGCTTTCGAGCAGCCAAACGAATTCGCTTCCCAATTCTCTTTGAAATCCATGACTGAAAGTGTAGCTGATGTAGCGTACTGCTGTTTTTGCTGCAAAAGGCGTAAAAGCAAAGAGCCTAACAAATTCTTTGATTTGAGTCTCCTCGCTGATCCCTCTTATCTTGTCATCCTTATATCTTCCAGTACAGTCGCTATATCTTGTACTAATTTTATCATTTTACTACCCTCCCACGCGCAAAACATAGGTTTCGATAAGGCTCAAGGCGCTTATTTGCTCAGTACCGTCTCAGCTCTCGACCTGGTAGGACGCATAGGAGGTTCCGCTCTCTGCGATTTGAATTTGATTCCGAAGAGTTTTTATTTCGTTGGCGGTTTGCTTTTCTCGGGAGTGGCTTTGGTTGTGATGCCTTTCCTGAAGTCCTACGTCACTATAAGCGTTTGTTGCGCTTTCTTCGGTTTGGCTTCCGGCGTCAACAACAGTGTTACCACTCTTGTAATGGCTGAAGTTTTGGGCGTGGAAAGACTCATGTCCACTTATGGGATCAGCTTGTTCGTAAACGGTATTTTGCAGTTGATAGGACCCCCAATTTGTGGTATCTGGTTCGAGATAGCGCACAATTACACGAATATGTTTATAACATTCGGTTTTATATTCATCGGTGGCGCGTCCTTGTGGATTCTTATGCCGTTCATCAATAAGCGAAAGAAGAAAGTAGATGCTGATTTAGTTGAATAATTCATTCGTTCTTCATTCATTCATTAGTTCCTTTTCATTACGGATTCCAAAGATTATGAAATGTATTGGACTTTAACCTTTCTCTTTTTTTTTGTAAGGGTCGAGTGGGGGAAACTGTAACTTAAGGAATGTCTCTGCCCTTTTCTAGCTTATCTATGGTCTATCTTGACATGTTTCTATTAGTTTTTAAGCCGTCACTTTAAGCAGCTGTCATCGCACGTCATATAGCCGGGTATGATACAAAAATATTCCTTGTGCCCCCTTGTTACATTTGCCTCCCCCCCCCCCCCCCCCCTTGACCCTACAATAATTAGTTCTCAAAAAAGAGTTTTTAAGACGATAAATTTGTGTGTTTTCGAGTGTCTGTGTTTCTGTATGTAAAATGAGCCTTGTGTGTCTACGGAATAAGGCTTCTTATCGTTTATTCCGATTTGTCAGTAGTTTGTAATCGAATTTATTGCCATGTTAGAGGCAGTTATAGTTAGCGGCAAACTTCTAGAGCAAAACCATAGACAAAAGAACTTGCGCAGTAGACGCTTTTGTATGTGAAATTGGTACTGCGCAGGCTTCGTTGTCTACGGTCGATGCGATTGAGTTTGACGAGATGTATACAATGGAATTTTATTAAAGGGCTAAGATATATTATTTTTATGATAATTTAACTTTAAAAGTACAGGAGGCCTACCCTATTTCGACGAAAAACGAAATTGCGATCGTAACTTCGCACGTTTCTTACTCTATTTCTTTTTCATTTCGAAAATTCGTTCGTCCGAAAATAGTTTGACAGTTAAATTCTCCAAGCCTACTCTAATTCACAATACTTTCGAACGAAAAGTTGAATTTGCCATATAATTGTTCGAAATTTTAACCTCAAATGGACGAAATGAAAAGTGTTACCTTTTCTTTTTCGTTTTGGGATTTTTATTTGAATTAAGTCTAAAATGCTTGATAGAGTATTTTTCATCCAGGCTGCTTAGCTCGAGGAACATTTTATAGCATGTAAAATTAAAAAAGAAACGAAATTTTTATTATTTATTGTATTTCCAATACTTCAAAATATTAAACAACAAATTTAGGTTGACGTAGAATCGATTGTATCAACTCTACAAATTAGTCGGCTAACACTGTCAAAAAAGGTTCTTTCAATGTCATCAAAAATTTTGTCATAAAGTAACATTGAATCCAAGTAAAAAACGTTATTTAAAAAGTACACATAAAAAGAACTCACAAACATGACTCATTCCATTCGTTCACGAAATTTTTTTGTGATTCCGAACTTTATGTGCGTTTTCGAAAATAAAATAGTGTCACTGGCGAAATTTCGTTGGAAATTCGTTCGTTACCGAAATTTCGTGACGGAGAAAGAGAGTAGAGCTCCAAGTTGGTTATAGGAAAAAAGTTGGACGGGACAAGAAGCAGAATAACAACAAACAGCAAAACACTTATAATCATCACTATAAGGAATTTTACATATTTTGCCCGAATTTAATCGCTCTCAAAAATAAAAGTGAAATTAATACGCGCAAATAAACAAAATATTCATATACATTCCATTCCGTTATAACAGTTGCCCCAAGCACGTTGTGTTCCGAAAACAGTTTCTGTAATACCCAAGACAGCACCATGGAATAAGTAAAAATATATTTGACTAGCTGTACCCCGCGGTTTATAAGGGATATTTTCCCGCAGTAAAACGTAACCTATTTATTAATCCAGGGTGTTAGCAAGCTCCATACCAAATTTTATTAAAACCGCTCCTACCGTTTAGGCGTAAAGAAGTAACACACATACAAACGCACAAACTTTCGCCTTTATAATATTAGTGTGATACTAGCAAACCAGTGAACCAAATGTTCATCAAAACCTGATTTAAAAAAAAAATGTATTTAATTAATTGAGAACTTCGGAGATTTTGTGTGGTTTCGTTTGAAATACGTGATTTCTCGAAAACTGGAAGTGCTACGTTACTCAAATCCGGTTTGTAGTCTTATCAGACTATTCTTAACTTATAACTTCAATATTCTCTTTATCTATCTCTTACGGTTTGGCCGCTGAAACAGCACCACAGACGGAAGGACTTGTCTAATAGATAAGAGTTATCGGACACTGTGTCTATATTGAGATTCATTAGCCTCCTAAAAGATTGTCTTTATATGAAATCTTTTGTGTCCGTTGTTTATGATCTCGATATTTTTTTTTATAAACCGAAAATTAAAAATACATTGTCTAGGCTGGTAACAAGATCAGGGGGCCATTCGCCTAACGGAAATGCTTTGGAAAACGCTAACGCTTTCGATTTTATTTTGTTATTTTTGAACGCCGAAGGTTTTCAAATACCACACGCTCATTTTTTTTAATATTATTCTTACCAATGCAAAAGAAAACAAAGGGCGCGAGGCATTTGATAACCTCAGGCGGCTAGAAATAACTAAATGAAATCGTAAGCGTTAGCGTTTTCCAAAGCATTTCCGTTAGGCGAATGGCCCCCTGGTGTAATTCGAAAAGTTACTTCTTTAACTCCCAAATATACAGACTATTTGTAGGTATTAAAAATAAAGTGCCAATTGTTCGCGTCTGTATTAAGAATGAATATTGGAAGGGATGCTTAATATTTTTTTAAAAAAAATTCCTATTTTTACAGAATAAATATTCCTATTTTTACAGAAAAAGTATTCTTATTTTTACACAAAAAATATTCATAATTTTACTAAAACCCCACGGAAAAGATAATAGTTTTCTTATTTAACGACACGTGACCCAAAACGTCTGGGATTGGCGGAGACGGAAATGACGTCACACGCTAGTTATCTTCCAGTCGGAGTGTAATGTTATACATTGCATTGTTTGACGTTTTTATGACAGACGTGTGACGTCACATACCAGTGAGACGCCATAATGTACAGATAAACTTTTTCGCGGCAACTTGAAATGGGAATTTATAATTTAGTTTTTTACTGAAAATACACAACAGAATAATGAAAATCTCCATTAACATAGGTAAATAACGTGAAATCATTTTTTCAAACCTGTCAAAAATCCTATTTATATTGAAAAAAAAATCACGCAAATATTACGAACAAACGCACAACGAATACATTCCATTTATACAATTTTAGCTTCCATTAGAAACGCAAAATATTAATGTTTAAATTGAAAATGCCCGTATTGTAAGTCTTCCATTGGACCATTGTAAGATAAATTGTTTATTTCATAAGGGCAAATTTTTCAATCTCTCATGGCAAACTTCCCCAAGGAATTGAAGATTATTTTTCTTTTTTAATATGGCAATAGTTTTTTTTACTTTTTAAAAGGGTTGAAAATCAAGGTTAATGCGCTCCTTATGTAAGCAGCCACCATAGGCTACGGTAATATAACAATAATCACTCGCTCCGTTGCCTACCCTGACACAATCCCGTACCTCGTGGAGCCCTGGAACCTTACCAACAGAAACACAACACTACCATAAGCTAGTGTTTTTTCACTGTTACCTTCTGTAAGGGTGGGCTCTCCAATTCGAGAGGAGAACCCGCTGTGCACTACCTCTCCTTCAGTTTATTCGGCCGATAACTTTTAACTAGGACTAGTGTTGCCGAACTATCGATGTTAAAACTATCGACATAGGATTATCGATAGTTTCGATACTATCGGTTGTATCGATTGGACAAGGCAATACTATCGAATGAGTGCAATACTATAGATACAATCGATACTATTGTAGTTCGTTCGATACTATCGATAGTGTTGATTTTATCTGAAACAATACTATTGATAGTATCGATGACTTTGTGATTGACTATAATACCTGAAAAATGTAAACAATACTGTTGCAAATGGTTAAACTATCGATAGTATGGTTGCAAATAAAATCGTCAGTATTGATACTATCGATAGTTTGTTATAAACGAACTACAATGCTATCGATAGTATTTAACTCATCCGATAGTATTAGATTTTCTGTGCTATTGATAGTATCGATACTATCGTTAAGCCGATCGATTGTCATACGATTGGTTGGCTATCGTTAGACTATCGATTAGTCATCGATTATCGATTATCGATCGGCAACACTAAAGTCTATTCACTTTGGCCTGAGACAAAATGTAAACAAAGAATCTGAGGTTCTAAAACTTTTTTAATGTCAGAAAGTACCTACTAGTCAATGATCAGGTCTAGCTTCACCACTCATTAGTATAGCCACGAAAATGTCAATTTAACAAGAAAACAATCACAGACAACTTTAAACTAAACAGTATAAAAATAACAAAAATTAAACAAGGAAATAACAAGAATTTAACAATTATGATATAATAGCATGTGCACGCTCGCGTCAACAGGTTGATCGGGAGAGTAAAGATGGCTGATGTAAAAAACCAACCGATTATAAAATACAACATTTTAACGTAAAATACTTATATCATGTATACTCTTAAATTTTGTCGTATTATAATACGTCTTAGTTTGGGAATGATTGTGTTTTTAGGTCTTTTACCATGTCAACTGAAGTTGTTAAAATACTTTTATCAGCAATATAAAAATATACGAATTTATGATGTGTATGTACGTTAAATATATGTAAAGTATTTTATTTTCTTATTCAAATGTATGTACCAGCTTTTAAAAAAAATAACTTAATGTTTCACTGCATTTCCTATGTAAATAGTATTTAATCTTTACTTTTGTCAAAAGTGACCTTAAAAAGTATCCTTTTTATGGTTTGTTTACATTTTTTCTCACGCCAATGTGAATAGACTACAGCTAAGACCTAAAAAATCGGACCTTAGTAGACTTGGCTTTGAAGATGGATAAGACAGTTGAGCCTCTCTTTTTCATTATTTATAGAGCTTGATAAGGATGTACTGGTGTCAATTTTTGCTAAAGTATTTTTTTATATTTTGAATGGTTTATCTGTTGATCGGCTATCCAGCCAGAAGGAGAAGACAGAGAGCCCCTCTTTTTCATTCTTTATGGACCTTCATAAGGATGTACTGGTGTCAATATTTTCTAAATTTTTTTTTTAAATTTTGAATGGTTTATCTCTTGATCGGCTAACCAACCAGTAGGAGAAGACAGAGAGCCCCTCTTTTTCATTCTTTATGGACCTTCATAAGGATGTACTGGTGTAAATTTTTGCTAGTTTTTTTTAATTTTGAATGGTTAATCTCTTGATCGGCTATCCAGCCAGAAGAGGTAGGATCTAGCCGTAGCGAGCTTGCCCAGAAGGATAAGACAGTGAGCATCTCTTTCATTCTTTATAGAGCATGATAAGGATGTACTGGTGTCAATTTTT